TTCTTCAACTAGATTAAATCTGCTTTCCTTGCTTGTCATCTTGTTATTTGTTTTCTGATTAAAAATTTTTATTGCCAAAATCTCTGTTACAATTCCTTTCAGTGTTGCATCTTGTCTTTCTTGAGTCTTATTTAGTCTTTCCATCCATTCCCTAATCCCTGTCATATTCTGGGGTCAGTCATTGGTGACTTCCATTGTTTGGGAACCAAGGTCTGATTTTTCAGGAGTTGTTCTCTTTGTTACACTTGAAATTACCTGTGGTCTTCCTGTGGTTTTTCCTCATTTGTGACATATTTCTTGTTTTTCTCTTTAGTTCTCGTTATTCAGTGTCGGTGGGTGAGGCTTTCTCTTCTGATGTTTGCTCAGCCCTCTTTTCTTCCCTGAACCGGGCTCTGGATTTGTTCTATCTTGAGACAGGACTGTGGGTAGGAACCTTTGCTATCTCTTGTTTTGAAAGTCGAATAAGGTAGGGGATTGAGAGCTAAGATTCCAAAACTAGTTGCAAATTACACTGTTCACTGATTGTGGTATGTGTTCCCTGAGACCCACTCCTCACCACCACTCTATATGACGAGACAGTACATGTGTGTACTCCCTGAGTCCAAGATACAGTGACAGCAGGGAGGAGCATAGAGAAAAATAGAATGAAATAAGATGAACAAGAATTTTAAAATAGAAAGAAAAAAAGAAATTACAGAACAATGAAAGCAGAAACCAAAACAAAAAAACAATTGAATACACAAACACAGACATACACACACACCCCAAAACAAACTGGAGTAACCGCAAAGTGAAACAAACCAAACAACAAAAAATCCCCAGGAAAACTAAAGACACATACACCGAGCACAAAATATATGGAGAAGAAAAGCAGAAAGATCAGGGAAAAAACAAAACAAACAAAAAAACACAACGGAATTCAGATTGAACACATATATTTACACACATCTTAAACTAAAAAAAATAAAAATAAAAAAAGAACAAAAACAAACCAGCAGCAACAAAAAAAAAATTGAAAGGTGAACACTCAGTTATTCACATGCACACATAAACAGAAAACAGAAGAAAAGAAAAAAGGGGGAATGCAGATCGAACCCTCACATACACAATCATGTACAAAGAGAAAATATTTTATTTTATTTTTTTATTTTATTTTTTTTTATTTTTTGAGTTGGGTCTCACTCCGTCACCCAGATGGGAGCGCAGTGGCCGCTCCCGGCCACCGCAGCCTCGCCCTGCTGGGCTCCGGCGATCCTTCCACCTCAGCCTTCCGAGTAGCCGGAATTACAGGCGCGCGCTACCACGCCTGGCTGATTTTTTGATTTATTGTAGAGATGAGGTCTCGCTGCCCAGGCGGGTCCCGAACCCGCGGGCTTAGGCCGTCCACCCACCTCAGCCTCCCAGAGGCGCGGGATGACAGGCTGAGCCCCTGAGCCCGGCGGGAAAACATTTTTAAAATAGATGAGCAAACAGGCGAAAAACGTTAAAGCACTGAAAAAACAACAGTCAAAAAGAAAGAAAGAAAGAATGCCCTCTTGTGGCCAGTTCTGTGATTGTTCCTCTTGTCTGCCCTCCTGCAGCCCTTCCCGGCTTTCACCCTCTCCCCCGTGTCCAGGCACAGGAGGGGGCGGGGAGTAGGGGTGCGTGGGGCTGCTGTCATCCCCTCCCACTCTTGTGTGGTCAGAGCCCTCTCCTTCGGTGAAGAGGTGCGGGATTGTCTCGTCCTCAGGTGTGGACTCATGGGGTGGGGCGGGGGCCACCCAGCCAGGCTTATCCTGGAATGGCGTTCTCCTGTTGCGACTGCTGTCTAGGCTCCGTCTGGGCTTGTCCTTCTCAGTCGTGGCCTGGCTGTGTGGGTCCGACGTTCAGAGGCTTGCTGTGGAGGAGGGGGTTGGGGAGGGGATGGCACAGCTGGGACTCAGCACTGGTCAGGTCCCTGCGAGGTTGTGCTCTGGATGTTCCCTGTGGGTCACGATCAGCCTCTGAGAAGACGACCCTCCAGTCGAAGAGATCAGGTCTGTTGCTCCGTGATGAGTAAGTCGGAGCACTCTCCTGCCCCACTTCAAGATGATGGCAGGGTGCCTCTTCTGTCCTCTCCGGTGGGACTCTGCTTCTGAGCTTCCTCCGCAGCCCCTGCTGCCAGTGTCCAGCCAGTCGCAGAAGTGGTGAGGCAGAGCCTGGAGCCGGTAGTCTCTCCCCCCCGCTTCTTACCAGGAAAACTTGCTCCGTGTTAGAAACCAGAAATGGCGACCTGGGAAGCCCCAGGGACCAAGCAGAGAAGCTGCAGCACCAGCTGCTGCGCCAGGAGGGTCCTGGCCTCTTGCTTGTGAGCCCCCACTTAGTCTCTCTCAGCATTATCTTCCCAGGAAGGGTTTTGTTGATTTTTTAAAATGGCGCTCAGCCGGGTATCGCTAGGGTCCAAGCCAAGTAGTTGTAGCGCCAGCCCCTGCGCCAGGAGAGCCCTGGCCGCTAGCTCTGTAGCCCTTGCTCAGTCAGCCACTCACATGCCCACTCACTCACCTGCACGTACACAGAAGTTTCCATACACTCACTCACTCATACTTGACCTACAGCATACTTCCTTTTACATTGAAGTGATTCTAGGAATAAGATGACTGCTTCTGTAACGTTTATTGAACATTGCCATTTCACTCCAGTAGCAAGCTGGTAAAAAGCATGGTATTCTCATTTTATTAATGAATGAAGAAACTGAGGTTCAGTGCCACTAAGTGATTGGACCAGTGTCACTTAGCTGGGTCTGCATCTTAGACTCAAGACTGTTGATGTCTTCGATCAGTTTTCTTTTCAGGATGCCACCACTGTTGGTGTGGCTCACAGGCAAGAACTCATAACTAGGATCTGTGGTCATGTGTGACTTAAAGACAAGGGCATGTTCTGAGAAACGCTCCATTAGATGATTTCGTCAGTGTGCAAACATCGTAGCGTGTCCTGATACAACCCGGATCGTATAGCCCTACTATACACCTGGGCTGTACAGGATAGGCTGTTGCTCCTGGGCCACAAAACTGTCCAGGTTGAGACTGCGCCGAATCTGTAGGCAACTGTAACACAATGATATTAAATAAATAAATGATATTAAATAAATATATCTAAACACAGAAAAGGTACAGTAAAAGTGCAGTATTTTAATCTTATGGGACCACTGTCATCTATACTGCGTGTTGACCAAAATACGGTTTTGCAGAGCATGACTTTGCATCATATACACATGCACATTCAGATGTTTCTCAGCACTGGGATGTTCTAAGGATAGAGACCTGCCAACAATGCAGTTTTTAAGAATCTTCTCTGGCAAACTAACCACTCATGAAATTGGGCCTTCCCCAGTTAACAGGGGGCTTGACCTTGCCCGCCTTGTCAGCATCTTTGTTATTAAATCTCTCTGCTGGTTTGATTTTTGTGTGACTGTACAATATAAATGCAATGTAAATCAATTACAAACTGAAATCACAGATCTTGCAAAAGATGTAGGAGCTGCCTGAATCTTCTGCAAAGCTTAGCAAGTGACCATTCAGTGGAATTAGATCATTTAATGAATGGAGAACATTGACAAGGATAATGACATGGTGTGACAGTAAAGAATGATGTGACTGACCACAGTAGCTGACACTCATCTATTACATGTGGGGATGCTGGGCACAGTAGATCTGCACTGACCTAAACACCCAGCAGGAATGCTCTTAGGTGCATCTGAAGGGCATGGCAAGAAGTCAGCACAGCCAGAGTGCCCGGCAGAACGGTCAGCAGCTAGCGGTGTTGCAAGCCCTTTGCGTGTTTCAGCTCGTGTAGTCCTCGGAGCAGACGGTCGCTGTCCTCACTTTGCAGGTGAGGAGACTGAGATACACACTCCCACAAAGCCTGGATCACATACAGAGCTGGAATACGGGCCTTGATAGTCGGCCCCAGGGCTGTGTGCTTTTCATCAGCCTGATACAAAGGCTTAAGCGAGTGTCCTTGGAGCTTGATGAAGCTCTGGGATCGTTTTGCAGAAACGACCTCTTTCTGAATGTGCTGCAAAAAGTCAGCAATTCGGCAGGAAGGATGTGGTGTTATGCTTTCGAGAGTTTTGTTGGACAAATTATGCCAAAGAGAATAATTCCAGCACTTGCTTTCCTCTCTGTTCATTCTGAGAATTAGTGCAGCACTGCCCAGTAGAATGTTCAGTGGCAGTGGGTGTGTGCTTGTATCTGCATTGTCTAGCATGGTTACCACTGGCCATAGGTATCTTGACCACTTGAAATGTGGCCAGTGTGATTAGGAGCGGAATATTTAATTTCACTTAATTCTAATTACATGTAAGTAGTCACATGTGGCTTGTTGGAACTCTCGGACAGTGTGTCGTTGTGATTCTGACCCTAAGGATGATTGAGTATACAAGAAGCATGTTTTGTCATGTCAATCTCATTTTTCAAGATAAAGTCCCAAGTAGGTCTTTTCACTAGTAGTATTATTAGAGTTAAAGTCTTACCCTGTGGCTCAGGCGCGAGTGCAGTGGTGGTATCACAGCTCGCTGCAGCCACAAACTCCACCTGCTTCAGCCTCCAGAGTAGCTGGGACTACAGACATGCTTCACCACCCAACTCCATTTTGGGGTTTTTTTGTAGAGACAGAGTCCTGTTATGTTGTCCAGGCTGTTCTTGAATTCCTGGGCTAACGCAAATCTTCCACCTTGGCCTCCCACGATACTGAAGTGTGAGCCACTGCACCTGGCCCTTTCACCGCTATTGACTGAGAGGTTATGGTTCCCAGTTTATGTGAATTTTCTTTATGTAACCCTTTTTTTCTAATCTCAATGATATGTGAATAAATTGGGATTATATTCTAAATTCTTAAGTAGAGTAATTCTCAACCAAGAATCGGCAGCTGTTTTTAGCATCCTGATAGACAAGAGTACGCGGAAACGAGCATGCACTCCTTGAAAGTAGAAAGCCTTACACAATCCCTTACATACCTTTGTGTTCTCTTGTCTGTTGTTACAGGTAATGCTGAAAGCCATCTCGTCTTTCCTGAACTCTTTTAACAGACTGGTGTTTTCAGTTGTGCGTGAAGGGCGACAGAAGGACAAAGGTAACTCGGAGTAACGCTATCGGTTACGCAGCTTCACGTGTGTTTCTCTTGTGAGGTGTGGCTGGACACATGACTGAAAAATACAACGACTCAGTGATGTTTAAGTAAGAAACGTTCAGAATCCATCAAATGAATATTCAAGATAAAAAAATTTTGTAAGATATTTCAAGCCGTCCCATTTTACCTTATCCAAACAGTGGATGCATCTGGCATCTCCTGATTGACCTAGTTATTTTTTGGGGGGGAAAGCAAGTATCTAGATTTAGGAGATGGTCATTGAGCACATATGTCATATAAAGGGGGGGTGTAAAAATGAGTTTATAGTTCGGTAGGGAGACAGAAAGGAGCAGGCAGGTACAGAGCTGTCTTGTTTTGCAGAAGGGCTGCATTCCTGCAGCTCCCCTTCCAGCCCAGTCTCAGCAAGCGTGTGTGTGTTCACCAGGGGACACAGCGTTATTATGTGCCCAGTTCATTTTCCAGCTTTGAAGTTTGTTGATTAGGAACTGAATATTTAATTTGTGGACATTTTCATTATTTAAAAAGTTGCACATAAAATGAGACTTTCTGGCCAGGCTCAGTGGCTCAGCCTGTAATCCCAGCACTTTGGGAGGCTGAGGTGAGTGGATTTCTTGAGCCCACAGGTTCGAGACCAGACCAGGCAACTTGGCGAGACCTTGTCTCTACAATAAATAAAAAATTTACCTGGCATGGTAGCATGCGCCTTTAGTTCTGGCTACTTGGAAGGCTGAGGCGGAAGGATCTCCGGAGTCCAGGTGGATGTTAGGGTGGCCATGAGTATGCCACTGCACTCCAACTTGGGCGACAGGGTGAGACTCTGACAAAATAAAATAAAAATAAAATAAAACAAAATAAATTTTAAAAATTGGCCAGGCATGGTGGCACATACCTGTGTTTTCAGTTACTTGGAAGGCTGAAGCAGAAGGATTGCCTGAGCCCAGCATGTCGAGGCTGCGGTGACTGGGAGTGAACCACTGCACTCCAGCCTGGGCAACAGAGTGAGACTCCGACTCAAAAAAGAGTGTACTGGATACCAATAAAAAGAGAATAAAATAGTTAAAACTCCACTTACTTAAACCATGAACACATCAGAGAATTGATTCTTGGCAGATTAGAGATGACCAAGCTACAACACCGTGAACGCAGCATGGAACTGCAGACGTGGCATGTGTTCCCTGGCTTCCTTAGAACAGGAAGGAACACACCTGTGACAAAGGACACGCCTGTGCAGTGTGACCAGGCTGTGCTAAAAATCTTGGTATTACTATTTTAGTTAGACCATTGGCAGGGTACGATGGCTCATGCCTGTGATCTTACCACTTTGGAAAACTGAGGTGGGAGGATTGCTTGAGCCCAGGAGTTCAAGACCAGCCTGGGCAACATAGAGCTTATTTCCAGAAAAAAATTTAAAAAAAATTAAAAATTAGCCCGTCGTGGTGGTGCACCTGTAGTCCCAACTACTTAGGAGGCTACGGCTAGATGGAGGGTTGCCTTAGCCCAGAAGGTCGAGACCAGTGAGCTGTGATCTCGCCACTGCACTCCAGTATGGGTGACAGAGCAAGACCCTGTCTCATTCAAAAAATGTAAAAGGCCATTAAAAAACCTAAGGACCTTTTTTTTTTAATGGAGTCAGGATCTCACTTTCACCCAAGCTGGAGTGCAGTGACATGAGCATGATGATCATGGCTCACAGCAGCCTCAACCTCTGGGGCTCAGACATTCCTTCCACCTCAAGCATCTCAAACAACTGGGAATACAGGTGCACCACCACATCTGGTTAACTTTTTGATTTTTTTGTATAGTCATGGTTTTGCTATATTGCACGGGCTGGTCTCGAACTCCTGGGCTCAGGCTATCTGCCTACCTTGGCCTCTTAGAGTGCTAGAATTACAGGTGTGTATAATCCTACCACTTATACTTAAAATACTCCTGAGTATTTTAAGTGTTCTTTCCTTTGTTATGTAGATAAACATGTGGACATATCTGTTCTCCCTTATTCTTTCTGCGAAATAACCCAATTAAAGAGTCTAAAAACAATGTAATGCTTGAGATAATGACCATCTATATTAAAAGTCTAACATTAGAAGAGTTACATTGTTGCTTTTGACCTGATCAGCCGGGAACCCCTTGCTCTCTGTAGGAAGCCCAGACGACCTGCCTGTGGTGCTGGACTGTGCTCGTCTGGTCGAGAGGATGTACAGCCACATCGCCGCACGGGCCGAGGACTTCACTGTGTTTTCCCCGTTCATGGTGGCCCAGTATGTGTCGGAGGTGCAGAAGGTAAAATCCAGCTAAGTGTCTCTCACAGGGTGCTTCTATCTGTCATTCTCAAGTGGGCTTTCCCCCAAAATGGCAAGCCTGTTTTGGACCTGATGGTTCCGTTGTAGCTGCCCTGTGCCTTTCAGGCTGCTCAGCAGCGTCTCTCCAGGGCTGCCATGAGGACGAAGTGGAGCGGCACATGGAGGGCTCCGCAGCGCCTGTGGGGGAAGGTGCTCTGTGCTCCTGGTTGGGACTTGCTCCAGCACAGACCGCAGGCTTGCTGTGGTTGGTCTCTTGAGCGTGGAGCAGGGAGTGCTGTGTTACCTAGAAGAACAGGAGCGCTCACCGGACTGGGCGTAATGGAGACCAGGACGGGGGTTCTGGACCTCCAAATTCTGGGGTCCCTTTGGTAGCAGGAGTTTACGGAACTATCTTCTCTGGGTCTGCCAGTCAAGTGACCGACTCAGCTGTGCTCAGACACTCCTGGTATTTTTTTCTTCAGTATTCTGGATAATTCATTATTCATCAGTTACCTTACTTGGAATCTGCTGTTTCCAAGTTCCATAAGACCCTAGGTGACCTGGGGTAAGTTCACTACAGGACTTTATAAATTCAGGCTATATCGATCTTATTTTGTCTAACTGGACTGCCTCAGGCATAAGCAGTGTGCAGTGAGTTCGTGTGTGTTATGTGTCTGCTTGTGTATGGATATATACACATTTGTATTGCTTTCTATCTCTGTAAAATATCCATCCCCCTTTGCAAATCTTGCAAGAACAATAGTAAAATCACTGGCTTGCTGCTAGGGTAGAGCCGTCAGTGTTTCTCAAGGGAGATGAGGCTGAATAAGCATCCTTGGGAAACCTGGAGCTATGTTAGCTTTCATCCCTGCTCCTGCTTCAGGTAAGTCTAACTACTCAGTGACTTTATACCCCACTGGCCTTGCTCACCTAGGCAAGTAGAGATGCCTGTCCTATGGGTGGGACACTTGGGTCATGTCAGTGCACGGCCAGGTTGAGTCCTCACCTACTGAGAGCCTCAGATCATGAAACTACCTTGCAAATCATCCTTTGACCAAAGTGTGGGCTTGTAGTTTGGTTTCCTTGCAATCACTGAGCATTTTTATAGAATCCCGATATTTCCCAAGAACTCCAGTCATTAATATGTAAGCTTTTGATGAAAGAGAAGCTCACGTTATTTTCTATTTGATTGAATAATAAAGTGAGACATAGTAATATCACTTCACTAAGGGCCAGGAAGGGAAGTAGTAATTGAACCCTTAAGTCACTAATTATTATTCAGAGAGTTACTTTATGAAGAGTCTCTGGTTTCTTGGCCTCGTTATTCATGTCTAATTTGTGCCTATCAGTTATATTTTTATTTTTAATCTTGAAAGGCAAAGGCCTTGAGAATTATCTAAGGCCACAGCCTCCCAGAACCCACTGGCAACATAGTCTATATTTTATCTTTCATTTGTTTATAAATTCAGTAATAATATATTCCATAAGCATTAGAGGCTTCTGCTAAGAGAGCCATATGTCTTCCTAGACCAGCGTGTTTAATTAAATGCTAGGGAGCAAGTACAGCTAAATAGACTTCATGTGGATTTCCTTTGCATTTCTGCAGAGTAGGGTATTGGTGGTAGTACCTGTTGGGAGTCAGGGAAACTGCCCTGATGAGGCGCATCATCAGGAGAAGTCGTCTTGTTTCCTCCAAGCAGTAACAAGTCCCAGTAGAAATATGCAGGGAGAGTGTGGCCACTCCCATCGTCTCTTTACCCCCAGACCACATTTACAAGTGTCCTTCTGCAGATGTGCCTCAGCTTGCAATAGGCTTTCATCCCAATAAACACATATTAAGTCAAAATAACAGAAGTCAGAATGCATTTGAGACTCTGATAAACCCATCATAAAAGTCAAAAATTGTGAGTTGCAGCACTGTTAAGTCCAGATGCTCTTTGATTTAATGATGCAGTTATATCCGGGGAAACCCACTGTCAAGTCAAAAAACCTTAAGTTGAATGGTGGGGTACAGTGGCTGACACCTGTAATCCCAGCACTTTGGGAGGCTGAGGTGGGAGGATTGCTTGAGCCCAGGAGTTCAAGACCAGCCTGGGCAACATAGGGAAACCTCGTCTCTACAAAAAATTTTTTAAATTAGCCTTGCATGGTGGTACCAGTCTGTAGTGCCAGCTACTCAGGATGCTGAGGTAGAAGGATTACCTGAGCCCTGAAGGTCAGGGCTGCCACGAGCCAAGATTATCATGATCATGCCACTGCACTCCAGCCTGGGTGGCAGAGTGAGACTCCCACTCAAGAAAAGAAAAATATTCAAGCCGTCTTATATCAGGACGGTCTGTGTACTGTTAGCTTAGAGTAAATAATTGAACTATGCAACTTGTCTGAGGTTTTTCAAAGCGGCTTTGATACATTTTCATTCACGGGCCAATGATTTTAGTGTTGTAGGAATGAACTTTTTTCCTTCTTTTGTGATGACGAAGCTGTCTGAAACCTGGAAATGTGTACTGGCTATGTCCTCTAGATGCTGCCAGCCTTCCTTACCCCCTCGCCCCCTCGGGCTCTTTGCTGGAGGCTGTCTGGCTGCGTTTTTGTAGAGATATCTCCTCAGGTGGTCATTCCCAGCTGGGCTCTGGACTCTGCCTGGGTTCAGGCCTCAGCACTGCTGACCACTAGCAGGGTGACCTTGGGCACGTCACGGAGCCTCTTTTTTGCCTTGGAAGTAGAATTGTCTGTTTGGTAAGCGATGATTAAATGAGCGAGCAAGCAGTCCTCTTACAAGCCCTCCCCTGCCAGTAAGATCAAGGCCTGCTGTGGTGTTTCTGTTCCTTTTGTTCTGTTTTTTCTTGCCCTCCCATTGCCTTGCTGTGAGGTCACAGACAGACTGTTCTCCCTTCAGTCCAGGAGTGTCCCCATCATCTACAAAATGGTGACATTTGAGGTGATCACCTGCCACACATTTTTGAGCTATCACACGAAAAGAAACAAATGACCTCTTGAGGGACGTGCTTCCCAGTGGTTCTCTGTGTGATCGGAGTTCTCTCAGCTATTAAAATACGTCCTCAGTAGAAACCATTTGTGGAGGGGCACGAACTTTTGGAGCGTTTCAGGACAGCTGCCAAGGGTCAGCCAGATCCCAGGCCTGTCAGCCGGGACCTTACCACAGCTTTGTTTTTCCTGCTTTTTAAGTTATTGTGGTGAAATGTGTATAGTATGAGATAATTTTTACCACGTTAGCCATTTCTAAGTGTGCACTTCAGTGGTATTAAATACATTCTTAATGTTGTGCAGCCATCACCATCTGTCCCCAGAACTCTTCATTACTGCTGCCGTTTTTGGGGAATTCAGCTACTGGGGTTTTGACTGTTCAGCGGCAGCCTGAAGAGCTGTGGTAAGTGTGAGGCGAGCTCTTCAGGCCTCCTTGGCTGGACCGTGGTCTGAGTCCTCTGCTCTGAAGTTTGGTGTGGCGTCGGCTACAGCCGTGTTGGAGCTGGCCCGCCACCCTTTCTGCATCTGCACTTGAGGGAAGAGGTGCGTCTTGGGCACAAGGACCAACTCAGCCCTTCCGGCCCGCGCAGCTGTGAGTGGAGGCCACACTGTGCTGTCACTGGCATCAGTGAGAACGTGATCTCCCAGGTGACGGTCATGAAGCACTGTGCTCTTGGGGTGTGGTGTGGGCCTGTTGCCCGTGTGCTTGGCGGCCTCAGAGCCCGCCTGCCGCGCCCGCTGCCCTGCTGCGGCTGAGATGGAGTCGCGGTCCGGACCGCGCTGCGTTGTGCCGCGGCTGGGAAGACTTGGGCACGACAGCAGATGGCTTACCTGCACTTAAGGTCTGTGCATTCAGAGACCAGTCTTTAAAAATTCTTCGGTTAACCACGTGGACATCGCTGACTGCATAGCAGAGCTACCCCTGTGACTTTGTGGAGTATGTTTCAGGGTTATATTTGCTTTCACTGGCTTCTGTTTCCCCAAAATACACTTCAGAAATACTAGTTTTTAGCTGAGTGAGGAGCAGAATTACATTTTATTTGTGTTCTGTTCAGTTTTTGAGTTGGAGTTCTACTCTGTCATCCAGGCTAGAGTGCAGTGGCATGCTCACAGCTCACTACAGCTTCACACTCCTGGGCTCAACGCCTTCCACCTCAGCCTCCCGAGTAACTGGAGCTACAGGTGTGTGCCATCACACCTAGCTAATTCTTTGACCTTTTGTTGAGATGCGATCTCGCCGCATCGCCTAGGCTGATCTCGAATTCCTGGGGTCAAGCAATTCTATTGCCTCGGCCTCCCAAAGTGTTGGGATTGCAAGTGTGATCCACTGCGCCCAGCCCAGTATTATATTTTAAAAGTAAATGTCTGTCTTTTCTCAACTCGGAGGTGGAAGTTGGAATTGTCAGTTCTTCCCAGGTGGTACTGGCAGGAGGTACAGCTGATCTTTGCCCCGCTTACTTGCAGGTGACCTTGTACCCGGCCGTGAAAAGCATGCTGCAGGAGGGCATCTACCTGGTCCTGGACCTCTGCATCGAGCCTGACATCCAGTTCCTGCGGGCCTCGCTGCAACCAGGGGCCAGGGATGTCTTTAAAGAACTGTACAATGACTATCTCAAGTACCACAAAGCTAAACATGAAGGAGAGAAAAGATATACCGTCTGAGGCTCTTAAAGAAGTGCCATCCGTGACATTTTACTGAGACTGGCCTTGTGATTTGGAGAGTTGAAGAATGAACGACTTCAGATATTCTAGTTTGCAGTGTTGAATACCTGGAAAATCCTTCGGGGTTTAGGAAACACATTTTGATGTATTTTACATCATGTTCTTACTGAGTTGTTTTTTTGTTTGTTTGTTTTGAGTCTGGGTCTCACTCTCGTCACCCAGGCTGGAGTGCAGTGACTTGATCATAGCTTACTATAGCCTCCACCTCCTGGGCTCAGCCTCCCAGGTAGCTGGGACTACAGGTGTGTACCACCGTGCCACTCCTGGCTCTTTTTTTTTTTTTTTGTAGAGATAGGATCTCACTATGTTGCCTGGGCTGGTCTTGACTCTTGGGCACAAGCAAGCCTCTTGCCTTGGCCTCCCAAAGTGCTGGAATTAAAGGCATGGGCCACCATGCCTGGCATTACTGAGTATTTTTTAATATGCCTTTTTTTAATATATCATTTTATGCACTAAGTATTGCAGTAACATCCTAAAAATAGACCCTGGAATGAGATGACTTGATAGAAAACTTGCTGACTCTCGTGACTTTTCTGCGTGTGGTTCTTGCCTTGGTTCAGTGGTTTGGGGTCTCCCTTTTTCCACAAGGAGCTGCATAGTTCTTGGTTTTTTACTTCAGGTACATGGGCTTATAGTTAAGACCTGTTTAACATCTTTGCCTTTTAAATTCGTCAAGTCAGTGAGAAGTATTCTTGATATGTTGCTTTTCTGCCTGCCTTCTGCGTGGAATCCTGGTCAAGGGAGAAGCTAGGGCTCTGCTCCTGCTTGTTCTTCCTGCCTCCGTTCTTTGAAGTTCATTTGGGAGTTATTTTTTCTGTTCAATTTAAGAAATAATTATCTTCTTATTACTTAAGCAGTATATGTGTATTGTACCAACCTCAGAAAATAAAAATAAAAGGGAAAAATTTTTAAAGATTTCTACCCAGACAACGTCTCTGTCATCACCTTGGAGTGTCTTATTTTACTCCGTTTGCTGTGCATATGTATGTAAATGTATATGCAGATAAATATACAGTAACTAAATTGGGTCAGAAATGTATTTTTTTAAAGTTGCCTAACTTTTTTCTGTGTAATATTTCAATATTTGGGTCAGTAAAGACATTTGACATTTTATAATGGCTGCATAGTAGTGGATTGAGTAGATACAGCTGTTTTATTTAATAAGTCCCTTGTGGTTAGACATTAGGACCTTTTTAAATTTCCTTTTATAGATGGTGCTTGCAGCTTATTATTTCCAGAAGATGAATTCCCATGAGTTGTATTGCTTGTCAAAAACCGTATCATTGTTTTAAGGAATTTATATAAATATTGCCAAATTGCCCTCTGGGAAGTATACTAATTTATTTTCCCACTTAGTGAGTCAACTTTAATATTATTGATTTTTGTTTCTTTATGCTTTCTTGATAGGTGAGAAATGCTATTTTGTTTTCCATTTCTTTAATTGCTAAACAATTATTCATATTTTATATTTACCATTTTTATTTCTTATGTAAATTATGTTTGCGTAATTATCTTCTGTAATAATTAGCCTGTTTCTCACTTGAGATATTTACCATTTTTCTTATTCAGTATATTTGTGCAATTCTTTTTTTTTTTTGAGTTGGAGTCTCACTCTATCGCCCAGACTGGAGTACAGTGGCCGCTCCTGGCCACCACAGCCTCGACCTGCTGGGCTCCGGCGATCCTTCTTCCTCAGCCTTCCAAGTAGCCGGAACTACAGGCGCATGCTACCACGCCCAGCTAATTTTTGATTTATTGTAGAGATGAGGTCTCGTCAAGTTGCCCAGGTGGGTCTTGAACCCGCGGGCTCAGGCAATCCACTCACCTCAGCCTCCCAAAGGCGCGAGATTACAGGCTGAGCCACCGAGCCCGGCCTAATTTTTTTTTAAATTTTTTTTTCTGAGTTGGAGTCTCACTCTGTCGCCCAAACTGGAGTGCAGTGGCACGCTCCCGGCCACTGCAGCCTCGACCTGCTGGGCTCCGGCAATCCTTCCGCCTCAGCCTTCCAAGTAGCCGGAACTACAGGTGTGCACTACCACGCCCAGCTAATTTTTTGATTTATTGTAGAGATGAGGTCTCGCCAAGTTGCTCGGGTGGGTCTCGAACCTGCGGGCTCAGGCAATCCACTCACCTTGGCCTCCCAATGCGCAGGATTACAGGCTGAGCCACCGAGCCTGGCCTGAAGGATCATCTTAAACAAAGCCTTTTTTTTCTTCACTATATTTGCAAGCACATGTGATTGGAGTAGTCAGTACAGAATGGCGTTTTGGTCACCTTAGAGGAATAACCAATAGCCCATGTTTCACGCCTCAGCTTTGATTTTGCTTCCTGTGTTGGCTTCAGGGCCAGGAGACAGCCAAGCTTTGCACACTGTGTGGTTCACCCATCCCCTTCCTTGTCTAGGTTGTGTATGTGGACAGGTTTTGACAATCAGAAATGTGTTCAGGTGGTCTGATGTCCTTTCGCTTAACGCTTTATTGACAGTTTTTTTTCTGTGCCGAATTCCCTGCGGGGACCTCCGAGAGGCTGGCCATGTTGCCTCTTGTTCACAGCTGGAGGTGGCGTTGGAGAGAGCGGGCAACCGTTAACAAGCAGGAACAAAACCGCGGTCTTGGGTTTGCCCGTGGGGTCAAGTGTCCAGATAGGAGGGTCACTGTCACAGGTTGTTAGGAAGCTGCGCCTAGTAAGTGTCTTCTTGCCCGGAGACTGACTGGGGAGCCCACAGCCATGGCACAGTTCCTCAGTCGTCCTGACGGTGGCACTGCAGGGCCTCCAAAGGAAGTGTGCGGTGTTGGCCGGACTCAGCCTGGGAGGGAGGGAGGGAGGGAGGCCGGCACCCCCTCTTCCCCCCTGCAGTGTTTCCATTCCTGGGAGGCTGTCGTTGGTTCCTCGCCGCTTCTGTTTGAGCTCTCAACCTCCCGAAGGAGGGGATTTGTTTTCAACTCCCTTTTGCTGGTTCGTGGGGACGAGGAAGCATTATTCTTGGGGTTCACAGTGGAGGCTGTGGCGGTTCACTTGTGCCCCGCCAGAACAGACCTCCTGGGCAAAGAGTCAGTCCAGGCCCACCCTCCACGTGGCGGAGTGAGGGTCAGTGGGGCCCGTGAAACGCTGGGCTTCAGAGAGACTCTCCTGCCAGACTTGCTGTGGCCCCAGAGGCCCTGTCCCTGATGAATGTGTGCTGATCCCCTCTCCATGCTTGGCCAGGTGCAGGTCCTCAGGGAGCTTCCTAGCAGTGGATGTTGACCGCGAGCCAGTGAGCAGAGGGACATGGTCCTTCCAGAGGGTGGTCGCAGGGCTGGACGCAAAACAAACAGATGCAGCAGTTGGGAGGGAGGCGGCGTTCAAGCAGAGACCTGCCGGGGCGGTGAGTGCTGGCTGCTCGAAGGGTGGGGGCGCTGGTCCTGCTTGCCTGCGCCTACCCCTCCCGTCAGCCTGGTTTGGGCTAGGGGTGGGCATCTGGAGGGAGATGCAAGGGTGAGGGCAGTTGGAGAGAAAGCTCTGCCTGGGAGTTTTCTTTGCAGGGGCTGCCTGGGCTGGTCCTGGGCGTAGATAACATTGGTCCTACTAATGGCCTTGCCGTGACCGCTCCGTGGGACCCTGGTGGAGAGGGCTCCTTCCCAGCCTGTGCTCTGCAGCCTCCCGACACAGCCTCCCCACAGCGGCCGTCTGCGGGCTGCCCGGTGCTGGGAATGACCCAGACTCGAGGAGAAAAGACAGGGCAAGAAGGTGTGTGTGCACTCAGGAGGGATTTGGGTAGAGTATTGATCTTTAATTCATAGAGATTACTTGGATCGGTTGACAGTGTGCCAGGCCACAGTCCCCTTCTTGTCCCGTAAGTGCACACACTCCTGCCGTCCGTCTCCAAAAAGCTGCTGTAGAGGCAGTAGCAGCGTCGCTTTTTGCTTCCTCACTCCCTTGTGCGACTTCTGAATGCTCTTTCTTTTTTTTCCATTTCACTTTCTGTCATTTCCTCTTCCAGCTTTTTTTCCTCCTTGACCTTATGTCGCGTGGATCTCTAGCGACATGACTTGCATTGCCCTGGGTTATCATGTCCCATGTCCTTCCACATGGCTCTGCTGTTCACCCCATGCAGCTCCTCCTACTCCGCCAGCGTGTCTGGGCCCAGCTCCTGCCTGCTCCTGCCTGCTGGTGCTGGCCTCCTTTCCCACCTCCACTCCTACTTCTGCTGCCATTTGTAGCCTTGGTATCCACACCAAGGACCCTCCTCACACCCAGGCCCTGTTCCCAGGATGGCCATGTGTGCTCTCCTGCTATCAACCACTAATGTAAGAGCTCACACCTGAGCCTGCCCTTGGACCCTTGGCTCGCCTCGCTCCAAGGAGCCCCTTTCTTTCTTTTTAGAGTCAGGGTTTTGCTCTGTTGCCCAGGCTGGAGTGCGGTGGCACAATCACAGCTCACTGCAGCCTCGATCCCCTGGACTCAAGTGAACTTCCCGCTTCAGCCTCCTGCGTAGCTGGGATTATAGGTATGCACCACTACGCTCAGGTAATTTTACTTTAGAGCCAAAGTCGCTGTGCACTGGCACAGAGCACACCACTGTGGGCTGCCCAGGCTGGTCTTGAAATCCTAGGCTCAAGTGAACCTCCTGCCTCTGCCTCCCAAAGTGTTGGGATTACAGGCGTGAGCCACCATGCTCCATCCCAGGATCCTGTTTTTAATGTCCATTCTCTGGCCTTCCCTGATGTCCCTCTACCTAGCTCGTTCCCTGTAGCCACTCGTGACCTGTGTACCCTCCCCTTTGGCTGTTACTTTGTCAAGCTCTGGAGTCCCCTGACCTGTCCTGCCCACCCCTGCCTCCAGGGGCCAGCTCTGTTGCTGGAGAAAATAATAAGTCATGGTTATTGATTATCCGTAAAATCTTGTTCTCTCTTCTCTGCTGGGTTCACCTGTTGGGAGGAAACTCTTCATCAGAGGAAGAAGCATCCATGAGGCAGCGTGACTTTGGAATGCTGAGTTAGTGAGGGTTGTTACGATGGTTTGGTTTGAAGTTACGGTTGATTGTTGAACATAAATGCTAGGGACGAGAGAAAGGAAGAGGCTTGTAAGGTGCTCCCTGATGAACACAACTGGTGTGAGTGAGGACAGGTGTTCACTACCAGGGAGGTGTGAGGG